TTCTACTGTTTGCCGTTTCCCAGCGTAACATTACTTCGTATTTTAATATTATTGCGTTTCTACTCTTTTATAATTGTGGTATTATAATTCAATTTCAATCGTGTGTATCATTATCTAGGAATCAAAAAATGGACGACAATGAAAAGCCAAAAGATAATGCCAATGAAGCCAGCTCATCTATGCCTATAGCGTATCAGCCTGAATCGAATTCCGAGACCGAAGAAGAAAATACAAAAGGGTAAATTTTTCTTTTATTAAAAATTGGTGCGTATGAAACTTCGTTTGTTTCTGGAGTTTGCATATTTTGTTTTGTTTCGTCTGATATTTGTGTATTCTACGGGAACATCTTTCACATTTGAAGAAAATGATATTTCATATGCACCAACCTAATAATTTATTCTTAATTTACATTTCACTTAAAGTTTCATTGTGCCAATTGACTATACTGTATCATGCAGGGCAAAAGCAGCAAATTTTTTGATGGGTGGATTAGTAAGTGCGTCGCCACCGAATTTTGTTTCTCTTGATGAAATCATGAAAGCTGCGAATGGCATGAAGAATATGGCATTGGCTCACGAAATTGCAGTCGACAAAAATTTTCAATTGCAAAAGCTTGAGCTCGAAGATGGTACATTTCACAGGAGAGTGAAAGAAATTATGCATAAAGCTTTCTGGAATGTGTTAGCCGAACAATTAGCTGAAGATCCTCCGAACTATGCACAAGCATTGGTTTTATTAAAAGAAATTAAAGAAGTAATCTATCCGTATATAATTTGCATGAAACAATGCCTTGAATGAAGCTGTTAAAATCTTCAATTTATTTATAAAAGTTAACAGTTTCATTCGAGCTCTGCATGACATCAACGCATAACGGCTGCGTCTGCATAGTATAATATTTTTTTTCATAGACATTGGATGAACTCGTACCATATCATGCAAAAATTCGAGAAAATTTGAAGGAAGTGCTCGATGTGGATTTAATTAAACAACAGGCTGAAAAGGGCGTTTTGGATTTTCATCATTATGCACAATATGTGATTTCAATTATGAGCAAAGTCTGTGCGCCTGTAAGAGACGAGAGAATTCGCGAACTTAGTCAGAAGACAGATGTTATTGAGATATTCAAAGACATAATGGAAGTGCTACAATTAATGCGACTGGATCTAGCTAATTTCACCATTACCATGATGAGACCGAACATAGTTGCTTCGAGTATCGAATACGAGAAAGCCAAATTCGCAGAATTTTTAAAAGTTAATTCAGGCGGTTTGCATTTCACGGAAAAATGGTTGCTGAGGCATTTTGACTCAACTAAAGGTACAAGTGGTTCATCAGACGTTAACGCTGTGCGTCAACTAACGCATTCACTGGTGACCGAAGCTTACCTCGATCTTTTGGAGTGGGACTTTAGTCCAGATGCAGAAGTACGTATCTAAACATCGATAATGGAATTAAACACCACTGTGACTTTTCAAATTTTAAGCGCCTGATTTGTTGACCGGTCCCAGTGGTGTTATGCTCAAGTTTTCAATTTGTTTCAATTAATGCAGACTTTACTGTTATATTCGCGTCGCAGACTTTGATGCTCGATCAAGGGAGATTACTAGAAATGCGGGATAAGACCAACAGATTAAGCATCATAGGATCTGTAATATTGCTAGTAAATAACACTGTGGGTGCACCAATTCATGGAGTATCTAGCTTTAAGAGAAATATTAAACAACATCTTAATGTACTCTTGGACTCTGTACATTCAAACAAGTATGTAAATGATGATATTTTCAACAAGATCACAAATTAAACGTCTTTGCAAATTGTTGGTAGGGAACTGGAAACTGTGATGCCAAATATTCTATTGCAAGTGAAAACAGACTTAAAAGCAACCTTACAAGAGATTGGTGCTACTCCTTTATCCCCAGAAATGGAATCGTTGCTAGAAGGACAAATACTGGATCTTATCAATCCAGACCATAAAATTAGACATCTCATTAGTAAGTGTTAAAAATAGAATTGCTAAATAAATTGATTGCTTTTTAACACGATTGGTGTATATTTCAAGATCTGAGAATTCGACAATTTTTACAAAAAATAATATTAACTCAATCTGCGACTCCGCAACAAGTACCGCCAGGACTTTCATCGCTACAAGAAGAATTAACGGCTATAGCGGCCCAATTTTTAATACTTATTTCTCATAATCGAAGCGTATTTGGAGAGTACTATCAGGAAATTATTAGTAAGGCACTTATTAAAAAAGAAGAAAGTAACAAGGACACGAGTGAGGTTCATACAATGGAGTTGTAAAAAAAGTTAAGATTTTAAACTAATCCTTTGTAAGGAACACATTATAAAATGTGTCCATCAAATAGCACATTAATTAAAAAAATAATTATATATATATATATAAAATTAACAATTTATTTGTTTTCATAATTTAAATATTTCTAACAAAAAAAACTATATACTAAAAATATAGAAATAGAAGCTTTATACAAGAAAGATTCTGATGTTGATATAATTGACACCATTGCACGGTTAAAAAAATATACGCTTTACATGACAAAATAATATTTTTACACAAATTACAAATACTAATTGATTCGTTTTCAGTATGATATAAGCGATACGTTGCATAATAGAATAAGTTAACTACAGCTTAATTTCCATTGTTTAGTATGTACTGCCAACTACGAGTTCTTTTCTGTCTTTGGTGCTTCAACATGTTTTCCAACTATTATTTTAAGCACTGCAGTCAAAAACTAATGTAACATATATTTGTACATACATGCTAAAATAAATTAAATCAATCTGTAATTAAATTATATTCAAGGAAATTCAATTATTTTCATGTTACTCTATTTTATTGTCTGGCTTCACATATTCACGCAATATTCTATCTTTATAAAAACAAGTTACATGGTATAAAATTTTTAATATAAATTCTTTCCAAAGTACATGCACTTACTTGCTTTCGATAATGGTTTTTATTTTATTAGAGGATTATTAGCTTCTCGATTTTCTTAAATGTTTGGCATTCATATTTTTTTCATCAAAGTACATTGATTTTCAAATTTAAGAATGTGATGTTTTTTCAAAAAATGTCTAAAACCTAAAATTTCGTATTGATTTAATAAGAGATCGTAACACAATTACTTTTTATATAATCTATAAAAAAAAATACCTCTAAATAAATGTTGTAGTCCTGTGTCTGATGAAAATAGGCTTTGTAATATTATCAATAATTCATCAAGATTGCCTGTTTTTGTATAATCCCGAATCATTCCCGTAAATATTTTAAAATCACTTTCAGATAGATACCGTTTTACCTGAAATGCACATTTTCCTATGTATTTCAGCTGTTAAACATAACTGAGCAGAATATATTAATATGTATTACAAGTTGCAATATTATGTTAAAGAAATCTACTTACTTCTTTTACGTATGCTTTTCCCAAGGCTCTCTTATCAGTTTCATCAGTAATTTCTTCAAATGTTTGTTCAGAATTCGCATCGAGAGACAAAGTAGAAGTAGAAGGAGCAGATAAGCGTTCATTAAATTCTACTGGCAGTATTTTAAGTTTTCTCCTTTTTGCAGCCGGTTCACCAACATTTTTTGTTAATTCGCAAGTACTCTGATTTTCTTTTAACTTGCAATTGCTGAAGTTAATCACGGGCTTCGATTCTATATCTAACATTTCGAACAAATCTTTCTTCTCCTCGGGTGACTTTTTATCATTTTCATTATTAGCATAGGAATCAATATTGAATGTATCTTCTATAGATGTTTCAATATCCCTTTTCGAACCAGACTTTGCAGTGCGAGACGAAGTTGCGTCAAATGATGCTGAGGTTGCTGCTAAAAGGCCATTGTTCTTGAATGATGTGAGGCTCGTGTTTGGTTGCGGATACTGCAAATAATAATCATGTAACACAATAATTCAATTACATTTTCTTTTATAATGAAATCAAAACATACAGTGTATTCTGCATATTTAAAAAAATCTTTAAGCTCTTTTACAACGCTACCAAAATTAGTAAATTTTCTTATATGAGGTTTAATCCAGGCGGAGAGCTGTTGCTTAAAACTTAGATTGTCAAATCGACAGTCACATAGGATGATAGCCCCATAATCATTTTTGTGACGTATTATCCGACCAATGGAAAATGATGAGAAGAAATAAAATATACGTTTTTCGATTGGAAAACGACGTTTCATACACACAAACATAATATGAGTAAATTATTACCCCTCTATCTTCCTTCCTTATTTCTTCTAAATATCGTTGTTTTAATATAACTCGGGGATCTTTGAAAGGTGGAAAAGGGAGACCTGTAATCAATACAGCTCTTCCATTTGCGTTAGCAAAGTCCAATCCCTCGCTCACTTTCCCTCTGCATACTGCCATAAAAAGTGCCCCCTTACAAGCGGGATCTCTAATTTTTTCACAATACTCATTCATGACATTCAAGAATCCATCTTTCTGTTGCGGTTCCACATATATAGGCTGGAAAATGTAAATGGAAAATCTTTGCACTTTTTATCCTGAAATATAATCACTTTAAATAGAAAACTACTTACTTTGCGATCTGCGATTTTAGTCCATAATCCCATATTTTGCCATTCTTCTTTACATTTTTTCATTATTGGATATGAAGGAAAGAAAACTAATATACCATGAGGAATCAGGCAGCTAAAATTGAATATTGTTCGTCCTAGAGATGCTATATACTTTGGATCGTTCCTGAAAGAAAAAGCAAATTGTACATACTTCAGAATATTATACACAAATATAC